TTGGAGTTATTCTTTGTAACAGAAAGAATAAATCATTAACAGGGCCTAAGATCATACAAGATAAAGCTTAAACAATACCTGCCGGCCATCGATTTACTTAACAGATCACATGATCATAGGAGTCTCAGGTAAAGGTCCTGTAGCTTGTCTCCCATGAACAAACTTCCTTATCTTAACTTAAAACATTCCAAGCCTTTAGAACAGTGCTTTTCAACCTTCGGTATCTCACAGCACACTTGAACCTATAGTCAAACTTCTGTGGCACACTTAAATTATGTTGATCAAAAAAAAAAAGAGTAAAAAATATATACTTTTTTGGATCTATTTATTAACACAAACAAAATGCACCATCATGGCCAAAAAACAAAACTAAACAATTTATTATAATTTATAATAAAAAGATAACAATTAAAATTTTTAAAAACACTTATTTGTACTTATTTATTTTTCTATTTATTATAATTTTACATTTAATGAGACATCTGAACTTGACTTTTTTTGGAATTTCTTTTTTGCAAGGTTGAATTTTGGACAGGCGTACTCTTAAATCTTCCTCCAAGGATTCTAGTCATGATCAACTTGTATTCTTAATATTATTCATTTCAGAAAAGCTTGCTTCACACAAATATGATGGTGAGAATGGAAGAAGTATTTTTATTGCTTTTTTGGTAATTGGAAATTCACCCTTGAGAGAGAACTGAAAGGTTACAGAGCCAAAGATAAAAGATTATTCCCAGGAGCAACATGAAAGGAAAATGGAGGCCGGGTTTGTGTTTGTGCTATTAAAATGGCTTTATTCCACCTGCGTGCAGGTGGGGTGAGATTTCCAACCAGGAAGAAATCCACAGGTGGGTAATGGAGAACAGTGGGGGTGGGGTGGGGTGTTAAAGGTCTGAAAGGTGAGGATTGGGACATTCCCTTTCCTGGGTTAGACATCTTTGTAAGGATGAGGGTTGGCCCATTTACCTTTCCCAGGTGGGACATTGGTGGAGTAGGGTAGGGGGTTGACCCATTCATCTTTCTTAGGTGGGTGATCAGGTAGGAGAGGGTAGGGGGTTGATTCTTTTAGGCGGGTCCACCCTATTTGGGCAGGGTTTGAGCCTATCAATAACCAAAAGGTTATAGTATCTGTTGTTGAATATTTTTCATTGCAGTCGTCTGTCATTTTTTTCTTTCTTTTTGTGTGTGTGTATTTTTAAGGCAAAGTCTCACTATCTCTCCCTTGGTAGAGGGCTGTGGCGTCGCAGCTCACAGCAACCTCTAACTCTTGGGCTTAAGTGATTCTCTTGCCTTAGCCTCCCAAGTGGCTGGGACTATAGGTGCTGCCACAACGCCTGGCTATTTTTTGGTTGTAGTTGTCATTGTTGTTTGGCAGGCCAGGGCTGGATTTGAACCTGCCAACTTTGGTGTATGTGGCTGGTGCCCTAGCTGCTGAGCTGCAGGTGCTAAGCCTGTCATTTCTTATTTCTATTAACCCTACCTCTTTGGTAATATTTAAATTTGTTGATGTACAGCAAAGGGATTTCTTTAAACAAAGGGATTTCTCACCCAATCCAGAGATGTTATGTCAAGTGTAGGTTCAGAAAAATAGTTTTCAAAATTTGTGTGCAATAAATCTAAAGTTTGTCAAATTTGTTCAATAAGATTTTTATCTAGTTTACACCTTTTCACTAGTTCAAACATTTCTATTGCATTTTCTCTTTTAATTCTTTCCTTTCAAAGCAGCACTTTTTCTCTGAGAGCATTAACTTTATCTGTACATATGAGAACATTTTCATGACTTCCCTGCGTACTCTTATTAAGAGTATTCAAATGCTGAAATAAATCTGCAAAAAATGCAACTTTGTTACACCAAATCTTGTCATAGAGTAAATCGCCTAAGTTAGCATGTTACATTTTTTATTTTTATTTTATTTATTTATTTTTTTTGAGACAGAGTCTCACTTTTTCACCCTCGGTAGAGTACTGGGGCTTCGTAGTTCACAGCAATCTCAAACTCCTGGGCTCAAGGGATTCTCTTGACTGTTTTTCATTTTTAATAGGGACAGGGTCTCATTCTTGCTCAGGCTGGTCTTGAACTCCTGAGCTCACGCAATCTGCCCACCTGGTGCTCCCAGAGTGCTAGGACTATAGGAGTAAGCCACAGCACCTGGCCTGAGATTGTTATGTTCTTAAAAGGTTGATATTTCTTTTTTTAATTCATAAAATCTTGATAGAACTCTTCCTCAAGATAAATATCTCACTTCTGTGTGCAACAAGATCTGTGTGTGAGATGTATCCAGGCTGGGCATGGTGGGACGCACCTGTAATTCTAGCACTCTGGGAGGTTGAGGCAGGCGTATTGCTTAAGCTCAGGGATTCAAAACCAGCCTGAGCAAAAGCAAGACCCCATCTCTAAAAGTATCTCCACATGTGGTAGGCACCTCTAATCCCGGATACTCATGAGGCTGAGGCAAGAGGATTGCTTGAGCCCAAGAGTTTCAGGTTGTTGTGAGCTACGATGACACCACAGCACTTTATCGAGAGTAACAAAGTGAAACTCTGTCTCAAAAAAGAAAGAAAAAGAAAAAGCATCCATTGTGGAACATAATTCTGGAAATGATCTTGATTGCAATGTCCTGCTTTTTATATAAGTAACGACTTTAATAGTGTTATCCAGGACCTTTTGTAATTCAGGCACTAATGATTTTGACGCTAGCACTTCCCTGTGTAGAACACGGTGTATAAAAATAATTTTGGGGTTCTTATTTTGGCCAAGTGTAACAAATTCTTTTACATCTCTGGACATAGATGAGACTCCATCAGTACAAATACTTCTATTGAAATCCCAAGATAAGTTATTAGAATAAAAGTAATCGTAGATCAAATTGAAAGTATCTTGGCCCTTTGTCGTTGTTTGGAGTGGTTGACAAAATAAAACCCATTCTATGATTTCTTTATTGACAAACCTAGTGAATGCTAAAAGTTGGAGTTTACCACTGATAATCAGTAGATTCACCCAAATGAATTGCAAACATATTTACTTCTTTAAGGTGAACTATTACTTGAAATTCTGTATTTTCAGATAAACTCTTAATATGCGAAGAAATTGTATTATCTCAAAGTGGAGTTTTTATTTATATTTATTTATTTATTTATTTATTTTTAGAGACAGAGTCTCACTTTGTTGCTCTTGGTAGAGTGCTGTGGTGTCACAGCTGATAGCAACCTCCAGCTCTTGGGCTTAGTTGATTCTCTTGCCTCAGCCTCCCGAGTAGCTGGGACTGCAGGCACCCACCTATTTTTTGACGCAGTGGGGCTGAGGTTGGGTTCGAACCACCAACCATGGTATAGGGGACCGGCGCCCTACTCACTGAGCCACAGGCACCCCTGAAAGTGGAATTTTTAAAGTTTCCTTTTCTTTTTCTTCTCCAAACATGGTTTGTATAATTGCTCAACAGGCAGTAAAATAACAGATTCTGAAATTGTATGAGATTTTATTTTCCTTGCTAGGATTTCTGCACTGGCTTCTCATGCTTTATCTGATAATCATTGCATATTTGGTTCATATTTTTGCTTGTTGAGTATTACTGAGTGCAGGTCATTTGAAATAGTCCACCGGCTTCTCCAACAAGTGCGAATGTCTGGATTGTAAATGTCTCTTTCATTTGCCAGGAACCATAGCTTCATTTGCTAATATTTTGCCACAAATTATGCATATGGGACCCAGGGGATTTCCTTCATACGTATGAAGTATCATATGAAACTGAATGATAAATAATCTTCATTATATGGACGACTAATTGTTTTTAATTTAGTTGTCAATGTACTAGATTAAGTAATAGTCAACACAGTATAATGTTGTCCTCTAATTTTTGTTTCTTTACTAAAGACTTGTCCATTTTATTGAACATTATGTAATAAAAATAAAAAATGCCAAATCAAAAATAATTTAAAAAAGTAAATAAACAACTCATACTTAAAAAAAATATAGGTGTTAATTAAAGACACTTGGAAAAATTTTCAAAAGTAGGATTTGTAGGTAATTGTGCCCAACTATTTTACTATTTCAAATTTAGATAGAACTGTACAACATAGTCAGTATGAGCTGTCCTCGTTACTACTTCAGACAGGAGGAGGGATTGCTGAGTCATACGGCTCCATTCACTTGGTGATTTCAACAGACATCAGGGTTCATGGGCAAATCCTTTCAAATTGCACCTTCTATGGATATGTCAAGAAATCTTATTTTTCAAGGCTACACCCCACCCACTTTAGAAATAAGCCAATGTTTATTTATTATAACAATAAAACATTTATTTGTTGCAATAATGATACATATTCATGTAATCAATTTAAAGAGGTTTTTTTTTTTTGAGACAGAGTTTCACTTTGTCACTCTCGGTGTGCACCCCCTCCCCACGTGGTACTTCAAGATGTCCTGCCTTTGGGGGTCAAAACAATAAACTAACATATGCCTTCCATGTATTGATTTATGATTTAATTCTTGTCTCCCTAAAACGTAAGAAACCAAACTGCAACCCATGGCTCTCTTGGCCACGATTGCACATACTTGGCTCAGACTAGACCTCTTTAAATTACTTTACAGAGTTCAGGTTCTTTTCCATTATTTGTCAAGCGCTTTGCCAGACACAGACGGCTCTAGTGCATTTGGCAGTCTCTGGCCTTTTTCGATGGCCACTGAAAAGCAGATTTCAAATAGGAAATGTCCTAAACACCGTACCTTCTTTTAAACCCAGCATCCTTCCTGCCAATGTAAGAACATTCTCCCCCCTCTTCTGTCACCCTCCCAAAAGAACCTTGCTTCCTTCTTCCCTGCATGTTACCACTGGCAGAGCAAATATGACTCAGAAACCGGCTCCTCAGGGTTGTAACCTGAGTTACAGTGTTGGGTCACTCATTACACGGTAAACCAATGCTTTTGTTTCCCTGGGTTGGGCTCTTCAAAAGGTGTGTTGCTGCTGCCGAGCTGCGGAAAAGCACTCACAGGTGTTGGCCGGAATAGCACTCCTAGGGCTGCCGCTGACTGGGACCTTTCTAGGGACCTTTCTCTCAGCCAGGAGAAATTTTGATATTAATCAGAAAGACCTCTGGAAGATCCAGAAAGCTGTAGCGGGAAGTTAACCTGTGAACAACCAGCATGGGAATCCTCTACTCTGAGGTAGGTCACCTTTCTGGAAGTGGGATCTCCAAAGGTGTTAAAAATTGCTCAGACTTTCAAAATGTAATTTCCTATCCCTGTCAATGTGTTTCTTCTGTTTAACTTTCTGGGTGAATATTAAGTCAGAAAAAAAATAAAAGTCCTGTGAATTGGTATTGCTGGTGTTTCTAATATTTTAAGGGGAATTATTTTGCAATTCTAAAATGTTACCTCACATTAAGTCAAAATCCAGATGATACATATTTACAGGGATAGTTTGAAACTTGCTTTTCTCATGCCAAGTACTCAAAAAAAAAAAGTAAAAATTTTACCAAACTTGACTTTTTAAATATCCAAAGGATTAACTGGTTCTTCTATGAAACCACACAAACAGCTTGGTATTGGATAGTAAATTCACCTGTAGCAATTGTTAATAAAGATTATTACTGTGTAGAAGAGGGATAAAAGCAATGTAATTTTGATATTTTGAGTATTTTCATATTTGAGGGATACAAAAGTACTTTTCCCCGTAACTTTTAGAATCAAATAGATTTTTAATAATGTTTCAAAGGAGTCCAAGAGAGTAATGTTTAAACAAGAGTACAAGAGGTGTAATGATGTAATTATTTATAACTTACTCCCTTTCTGGCTAACCTGCATTCCATTGCTGATGCTCGAGGGAGCCTCCTCGGATGGCTTTGATCTTCTAGTTTTAAAGGCAGTTTATTTGCAGTTATTTCTAGTGCTCTGTGTGTGTGTGTGTGTGTGCTTTTAGTAAATGTACTGTTTGGTTTATAACTCTAAGTGTCCTCTGACGTATATATCTGAGTGATTTTAGTTTCATGAAGAGAGCACATATATGAAAATGACAAGACATGCAATGTTCTAAAAGGCTACTCTGATAATTCTCAGACTTTAGATTGCCCAAGGGTCGGGGAGAGGAAGTCACTGAAATGCAGTTTCATGGGCCCCCATCCTGGAGAGCCTGTTGCTCTTAGACTATGGTAAGGTTCAGAAACTTTTTTTTTTTTTTTTTAGAGATACAGTCTCACTTTATTGCCCTTGGTAGAGTGTGGTAGTGTCACAGCTCACAGCAACCTCCAACTCCTGGGCTTGGGTGATTCTCTTGCCTCAGCCTCCTGAGTAGCTGGGACTACAGGCGCCTGCCACAATGCCTGGCTATTTTTTGTTGCACTTTGGCTGGGGCCAGGTTCGAACCCGCCACCCTTGGCATATGGGGCTGGTGCCCTACCCACTGAGAAACATGTTTTTAAGAGGAGCATCCCAGGTGATTCTGACTTAGGGGATCCGTTTACCACCATCCTGAGAGAAATACTACTCCAGCCTAGTTCTTTTCAAACTTTAATGTGCATACAGATCACCTGAAGGTCTTGTTCAACTGCACCTTCTTATTCTGTTGATCTCAGTGGGGCTGCTTTTTCCAGTTGCATGTGGGAATCATGTGTGAATTGGGGAGGGGCAAGTCTAGTCTCATTGTCTGGTGTTCTGCTAAGGGAAGTCTGGGTTGGGACTTTTCATCTGTAACTTTAAGGAAGCTGAGAAAGTCTGGAGTAATCTCTCAAATATTTAAACCTAACCAAGTCATCTGTTATGTACCAGGTGTGCTGTGTTTCGTGAGAGTAAAAACTGTGAGTCAATGATGAACAAGAAGAGAGCAGCTGGGCCCCATCCCTGGTCCCAAGCTAGCTCCAAGTGTCTATTTTCTAAGAAACTTTTAATAAAGTTCTGTTATACTTCCCACTATGAGTGTGGGAAGCTTCTTTGGATGAAGAAGATAGGCTTATCATCTTTCCTTAGAGTCTTGCATTGTCAGTAAGTATGCAACATATATTTTTAAAAAAAAGGTGACAATAAGAGAGTGTCCCAGAGTTGGTCCTAAAATCTACACAAGGGGATAAACTTAGAGTTCCGTCAGAGGACAAATTTTGGAATAATTAACTCTAACTGTGCAAGTTGGACTTTTAAACAAGACTGATTGACTTAAATCCTTCTCAGAGATACATGTTCATAATATTTACAATAACAACAAACATTTATTTAGTGCTTGTTTTATAGGCCAGGCCCTTTTTAACCACTTTATATGTATTAACTCACTTAATATTCACAATAACCTTCTAAGAGTTGTTATTATCTTTATGTTACAAATGGAGAATCTAAGGCAAAGATAGTAACTTGCCCAGAGTTATGTAGCTAAAAAGTACTTAGGGCTAGAAACCAGAGGCTGGGCTATGAGGCCTGTGTTTGTACATTCAGGGAAATTCTTACATCACTGTCAAACTAGTAAGTTGTTTCACTACTTGATATTTCGACAGAGATGCCGTTCTCCATATAGGAGTTGGTCTTCAGCACTCTGCTACTCTGCTGGTGCTCTTTTTCACTGGGATAGTGCCCTTTTCCCTTAATGAAAAGAATGGGTAGGTTCCAGAAACATACATTCTACCTTGCAGAGGAGAACTGTTGCTCAGGAATATATTACAAAAATTGGAAAGAAGGAAGATGGTGAGAACTTAACCCAAAGAGCTCCAGAACTTGTGGTTAGGAATCCCATAGAATCTTTGTCAGCTGTGGGTACAGGCCTCACAGGACTTTCTTGAAAATCATATAATAATGTATCCTTTTAAACTTTGGAAGGCCAAATAATAATGGTAACTCTGAGCAGAGGGATGCAAACACACACATACATACATGTGTACAAATTTACTATAATATTAATCCTTCAGGAATGGATATAGTTTTCAGAGAAGCTGATGTTACTATAGGAAAAGGAGATATAGGTCAGAAAAGAGAAGGATTGTTTGAAATATACAGTGTCTGAAGAGAGCAATGTAGGTTCAGCAGTGCTTATTGGGAAAGCTGGTTGAGTTGAGAGGAACACTCAAGGGAGATAGGAATGGAGTTGCAACCAAATGAAAGGTCTTTGGACTGGAGGTCAAAAACCCCCCAAAATTAATCTTGATTATGCCAAAAACTCTGTGGGATTTGCCAAAGGGGGAGTCATTTAACCTCTCTGGGCCACAGTTTCTTATCTATAAACAAGAGAATGAGTTCTAGCTGAGAATGAGGATGAGCTCAGCTGAATGAGTTCTAGCTGAGCAATAAGTAGTGTGTCATTCTGTGATACAGAAAAGGAAAGACAAAGACAGCAGAAAGAAATTGCATCTTTACAGCTCTATCTACTTTGTTCAGATATTGAACTCCTAGCAAGGGTTTGGCATCTACAAGATATGCAAGAAGGGCTTTGGAGGTGTCCATCACCCCAAATAGTTTAATTCTTTCTTTACATAATACAAGTAATTTTACAAGTTATCGTGTTGTGCTATTTCAGAAAGACAATGGTAACTGTAATGTATGAAAAGAAACCAAGACTGAAAAATTGTATACCTTTATTTATTCATTCACCCATTCATTTGTTTAACCAACAATATGAATTGAGCACATACTATATTTCAGGCATTTACTCGTTCCTGGCATATGTGGATTGAACAACCTTAATCTGAAAATTCAAATTGAAATGCTTCAAAACACAAAACTTTTCAAGTCCCAATGAGACACATGTGGAAAATTCCACATTAGATCTCATGTGATGGGTCATAGTCAATAATGCAGGCACATGCAGTTTATTCAGCATCCCCAAGGGAACAGAGACCCTCTATGCATGCCTAGATCCCCACACACAAGTCTACCCATAAAGGGTAGTAAAATGACCCAGGAGAGAAGAGCTGACAGCAAGTACCCCAGGAGGCCAGGATTTATATTTATTACTCACTGTATGTTTTTCCTTAGACTCTGATCTGTGGCCTAAAGATTGTTGAAAATGTTGAAAAGGTCTGCAGATAACAGTGATAAAAAAGAAAGGAAGCATTTGTGTTTAGCTATGATACAGAAAGTCCAGATGTTGGAGAAAGTAGATAGTGGGGTAAGTGTGCAACATGCTATGGGAGGGTGTGGTGTTAGAGCAACCATTGTATAGAACCTCAAGAAACAGAAGGATAAACTGCTGAAGTTCCATGCTGAAAGTGATGAACAGAAGTTAATGAAAAACAGAAAATCACTGCAGAAAGCTATAAATGAAGATATCAATTGTGTATAGAAAGAGAGGAATCTGTTGGCATCACAGTGAATACATGCCACATAATGACTGATGATGAAATAAGCAAAGATCTATCTTAATGTGCTGAAAATTGAAAGAATTATGAATATTCAGTAGGCTAGTTGCATACATTTAAGAAAAGATATACATTGAATTTTTGAAGATTTGTGGTGATAAAGCATCTGCTTCATTGTAATGTGGTGATGAAGTATCATGCAGCAGCAGAGAAATTCATGGCAAGTTTGCCAAGGTCATTGCTGATAATGACCTGATGCTAGAGCAGGTCTGTAATGCTGATGGAACATTACCGTTTTGGTGTTATTGCTCCCAGAAAGACGTGGACTACAGCTGATGAAACAGCCTCTTTAGGAATTAGGTTGTGAAAGGCAGAATAAATGTGCTGGGATGTGCTAATGCATCAGGCATGCACAAGTGTAAACTTGCCATGATAGACAAAAGCTTTGATCCTTGTTGTTTTCAAAATGTGAATTTCTTACCAGCCCATTTTTATGCTAATAAAAAGGCATGGATCACAAGGGACATCTTTTTGGATTATTTTCACAAACATATAGATATGGTACCAGAGCCTCCTGTTTACTGCAGAGAAGCTGGATTGCATGACTGTTGTAAGATTTTGTTATTCCTTAACAAATGTTTTGCTTATCCTCTAGATGAATTTTCTTCTTTTTTTCTTTCAGATTAATGTGAGGGTACAAATAACTAGGTTATAATTTTTGCATTTGTTAGATAGAGTCCCTCTTGTAGTTGTGTCCCAAATCCAAGAGGTGTGCCATATAACCTTACCTGTGCCCATTAAGTGGACCACCCCAAGCCCCCTCCCCTCTCCCGCCTCCATTGATCCTCCCCCCCCGCCCCGCCACAAGTTGAATTGAATCGAGTTTTTCTTTTA